GCCTTTATTAGGTCAAAGTCAAGGATGTTGGTTTCGATAGAACGCGATCTCGTATGCGAACTTTTAGTTCAGTATCAGATAATTTCCACGGCCGATAAAGTTCAACCACCTGGGAGTATATCCGTGTGATGATCTGGGCGAATCCATAGATTACTACTCGATAATCAACATTCCTTGTAAAGGTATGCTGATACCTTATGCAGACAAGCACGTATTTTATCCAATAAGCCACAGCTGGTGATGTTGAGCGTACGACAGGATACCTTATTTCATTAATTCTGATTTATATTGAGTTCCCCGTGGAGGAGACCGTGGGAGTAGTCCACAGCTCATGGATGGTGGGTACAGACCGCGTTAAGTGGCCCTCGCACGGTGTGTTCAACATTGAGTGCATCGTATCGCAGAGTCTACCACCACCAAAGCGCAGCACCGTTCGGAAGGCGAAGGTACACAAGGTCATCGACGAGCAAATGACATGTTATTTGACATTTTCAGATGACTTCCAAGTGGCCAGTAAGTCGGTTACACCGAGTTGTTGTCCACTGACGCCAAAATTTTCATAGATAGACATGGAAAGCACAGACTGCAAGTTTATTTAAATATTAACCAAAGTATAAGAAAATCAAGGACCTTGTCAGATTCAAGTTAGGAGGAGAATGCACTTGAAACACCAAGTGTAGATATGGATAATTCGCGACCGCCTCCTCCCTTGGATGGCGGGTCTAAATACCAATCACACGATAAAGGTTCTTTATCTGAAATCAGCGGAAACATGATGGTTTCCCCTGTTTTCCGAGCAAAAGTGCCGTTTTTCTCAACATCGGTGAACATCACTGAAGAGGAACCATAAGTGTAAGAACGTGCATGTCATTATCTATTTATTTTACAGATCAACAAGTAATGTTCAGGAAAAAAGAGAACATTGCCACGTAAGAATGTAGCACTTTCATTTATCATTTCATTTCATTCCTCACATTTTAGATCGAGCAGTCGGCTATTACACAGGAATGGGAAAAGGTAATCGTTGAATAACAATATTAACCTGAGTTCGTCTACAGCTTGACTGTAATATCACCTAGGCAACGTCATTATCCCTGTCCATATACTGTTTTCATGGATAAAATGTTGAAAGGACAGGAGCAGATGACAAGTAAATTGCTATTTCAATGCATACATTCTCCGAAACGCAGATACCATCAAGGAACGTAAGGAAGATTTTACATATTAATTGCAAAACGGTCGAGTTGCTTAAAAGCCGAGATGACATGACTGCACGATACCTGCCAAAAATCTCGGTGGTTTCAACGACTTGTTGCTAAAGTCGGAAGATGATAATTGATATCAGTATATGGTTTGTACTTTCTCTATATCGTCATATTTCAGGCTCAGTACTTGTCGAAAGTGGGTGGTGACAGTGTTGGCGAATGCGTTCAGCGCATGTGTCGACTACTGTTTGCAGACAACCTGCTTTCGCATGAACTGGAACGGTACTCACGGCAAAACAGTCATGGGTAATAAGATTATTAGACGTTTAATACACGGTAAATCTATTAACTGTACTGAACAAAATTAGAAGCCATAGGGGAAAGAGGTCTCAATGTCACAGACCTTACAATCATTAGTACCAAAATTCAGCGATGCATTCAGCGAACTAGGCAGAATACTTCCAAGACCAACCAAAGCTGTCCATTTAAGGACGTAGAAGTCCAAAGGCCATGGTTAGTATCAGTGGAATATTTCACTAAGCGTGTATGCGTATACGCTAATTCATTTCTACACTTGTTATTTTATTGATTTATTTCTTTATATAAATATATAGATGTATATAAGTAGGTACATTTATAGTTATTTTGAAATCGCTATCACTGATCACGTTTATGTCATAAATCTTATTAGAACATACTACACTGTTAGTTATATGAAATTTCACTTTAATCCAAACGGAACTAATGCAGTTTCTGTTCTCTTTTTCTGCAGACGGCAATGTGTGAAGGGAAGAGAAGGAAAAATAAATGTGCATATATATATATATGCTTTTTTTATAACAAACCATTCTATCAATCTCATTTGAGTTTTATTTCGAAAGGATGAATTGCGCCTGAGAAAGTTCGTGTATCAATTAGGAATCGTGTGTAGTACGTAAATGAAGGAGCAATGGGTGTCGACTGGAACGGATGAGCGTCAGATAAAGAAACTTCGGAGAAAATGTCGGGTGTAAAACTTATGCTTATGCGTTTCAAATGAATGTTGTAGCAAGGGCACGGACTATATGATGGATGACGTCCGTGGTCGCTTGAGGTAGTGTCCGGCGATTTGCACAACTCCGGGAATCCAGAGTTGCAATTTTGGGCATGCCAGTAGAATGTCGCCTCAAACAACTGCTAGGCGGCCTGCGTCTGGGAGACAACGGCTTTGAC